TGTCCCTCTATTCCTGCCACTTCATTTTATACATCAGAAAACGAAGGCCCAGAGAGATGAATTATCTCCAAACCAATATCACATATCAAAGGGAAAATTACTCTCCTTGCAGAAATTTAACCTATAATTTTCCCAGATCATATCTGAAAAATTTAACATAAAATACCCAGTCACTTATTATGGTTTGTATTAGAAGTGTCTCCCAAAAACTCATGTTTGAGACAATGTAAGAATATTCAGAGATGAAATAATTAGGAGAGCTATAAACCAATCAGTGGATTAATCCATTTCATGGATTAATAATTTGAATGGATTAATGGTGGTAATTGTAAGCAGATAGCATATGACTAGAGGAAAAAGGTCACTGAGGGCATGTCCTTGAGAATTATATTATCCCTGCTTCTTGCTCTCAAGCTGTCTCTGCTCCTGCCTGACATGAGGTGAGCAGCTTTCCTCTGCCATGCCTTTTCACCATTATGTTCCGTATCATCTTGGCACTGAGCAACTGAGTCAGCTATCCATGAACTGAACCTCCGAAACCGTGAGCCCCAATAACCTTTTCTTCCTCTGTTGTTCTTCTCATCTGTTTTGATCACAGTGACAAAAAGCTAACACATCACTAAAAACATTCTATCTCTACTCTTATTTATATTTCATATGCATTATCTCTGCTTAAGTTGGGGAAATCTCTTTAGTTTGGGAGCCAAACTAAAGAGAGCATGGAGCATGACAGTTATTTCAAACTCCATTTCAGATGCAGTATTTCTAAATCTTAAAAATATTAACCTCTTCCCAAATAAGAGGGGAAAATGGGAAAAAAGTGCTATTGAACAGTGAATATAGATAAAAATATCTTTGTAGCGTTAGTTAAAATTTCCTTGAGAATGATAATGATGTCTGTCTATGCCATTTGCAAAAGGCTATAAATACTTCCTTATGCACGAGATTGAAATTTCTAGCACTAAGAAAGCATAGTCAGTTTATTACAAATATGTGGAAAAATCAGAATTGAAGAATCTTACTTTAAAAATCTTAGTCCCATTTTTATCCAAGCCTTATTAATATTTTACTTAATTTGAAGATTTTTCTCAGGTAAGTATTTATGTGCCCGACAAAATTGGGAATTTTTTTTGACAATTTTGTTTTCTTTAAATTGTTCATCCTTTCTCATGAATTGAACTGCAATTTCTATACTGCTGATTTCAAAACTATGACCCTGTAGCTGGAACCTATCCTAAATGTCTACTCTCCAAATGCATTCTTGACATTTCAACTTGGTAGACCTGGCCGTCTCATTTTCACATATCTAAATCAGAACTTATCTTCCCTCTCATCTGATTTCTATCAACATTACTCTTTTTAAGTTTTTTACTTATGTTCAAAATTTGAGAGCCATGATTTATTTATCACTGTCCCTTTATTTCTATATACTTTCTCCTTGCCTATTTTCCTATACTCCTTCTCAGATGTCTTCCTTTCCTTCTTTATCTTTTCATTAAGTCACTCAATTTTTTTAAGTAGCTACTAAGTTCCAGGCTTTATAGTAGGCAACAGGATATAAAAACAAGTCTGAGCCCCTGCTTCCAAGAGAACAGTGTCAGAATTTATAGAGCAAGAGCTATAAACCTGAGAAACTCTGGATATTTGTAAACTGAACTTCAGAAAATTATTTCAAGTTAAAATAGGATCCTGACTAAAATTTCTGTCTCATTTATATCAGCTGAATTGGAAAAACAAATGTCGGCAGATTTTTAAATGAGAAGCTTGCATCAGTATACCTCCTAGAGATAGAACCAATACCCTGGTAGGATCAAGTCATCTTCCCAGTGTGTTTGGTAGAATTGCCTGATATAGAATGCTGTGCTTGAAAACAGGAAAATGTCTGCATTTTTACCAGGTTTAGATTTTGGCTTACTTGGTGGAATTATCACTAATGCATGCTAATACTGTTTCAAAGGGTCCTATTTAGTGACTTTTATCAGTAATACCACCAAATAAATTCTGATTCTGGGATGGCAATAGAAAATGAGTTTTTATAAAAAGTAGTTCTCAGACAAATGCAAATATTTGCACTTTAGATATGTAAGCATATATATGCATCATATATATAGGTTCTTGGGCTGAAATTCCAAATTAATAGACATTTCTGGAATTGTTCTATAATTACTCTAAATTCTTATCCTTTGTCCATAAACCAAGTCTCAGGAACTTGGAAAACTAGTCACACAAGGAAAATTCTGATGTCTATGATACTAAATAAGACAGAAGTTGTAAGTTGTGCAGAGATTTTTTTTAAATGCCGTAGGGGAGATTTTACAATGAATTATAAAATCACTTATGAAACTAATTTAAAAAAAATAATTATGTATTTTAAATATCATAGGGACTGGAGTTGGGGCTCAGTGGTAGAGCACTTGCCTAGCATGTGTAAGGCCCTAGGTTAGATTCTTAACACCACATATAAATAAATCAATAAAATAAAGGTCCATAAATATCTAAAAAATTTCAAAAAAATAATGAATATCATAATTATTTTCTTCTTAAAGTAGGGTGGTTTGTCCGAAACCTAATTTGTTAATATCCTAAAATTAATTTACAGAGGAACTTGAATGTGTAATATTTAAGTTCCTTTCGCATACATATTTGTAGACATTTGAAAAGTTATGATCATATTTGTCAGTGTTCCTCTTGTGTTTCTACCATTTCATGTAACAATAATCTTTTAAAATCTCACATATGACACACTTAGTTAGAAACAATGCCAAAGAGAGTCTTTCTTTAAATTAATCGTTTCTTAGTGTAGTAAAATTGTCAGTAAAATCATCACTGGAGAAGAGAGATCTATAGAAGATCTGAGAAGGTCCCAAAGAGTTCCTTGGAGAGAGGTGGAAAATCCACTTAGGACCAGCAGGGTCCTTGACATACATGATGGGAAGGAATTTTGGACTGGGATTGTGGCTCAGTGATAGAGCGCTTGCCTAGCATGTTCAAGGCACTGGGTTCAATTCTCAGCACTACATGTAAATAAATAAAATAAAAATTCATCAACAACTAAAAAAGTTTTCAAAAATTTCAGCAGAGGTACAAATAGACTTGTTTAGGAAAGCAAGGAATACATATTTAGAGAGGTTGTGGGCCATCTCAAACCATGTTTTATGGATTCTTAGCTCCTCTTTTAAAGAGAATTGGATTAGAGGTAAGTACAGTTAGGTATGTAAAGATGACAGCAGTCTGGTCATTCTCAGGATCCTTTAGGCTGATAGTAGTCTCCATTATCTGATTAGTAGATAATGTTAGAAAGTCCCCTACTTTATGGGTTTTTTCAAGATATTCTCTTTTTTTATTCTATTTATCAGTGAACTAATGAACACTACACAGGATAGATATACAAATTTCCCAGAAATTTAGAAGTGACAGACCTTGAAGAGAGACTACCTTGGGGAATGAAAGATCTGGAAAAGAATGTGGAACCTCAAAATTATATTTCTTTGCCCTTCCTTTATGTATCTTTTCTAAACATTTTTAATTTCTTCTATTTTACTTCAAAATCCTCTTCTTCAGCCAGGGTACTTCTTTCACACAGTTGAAATTTCAGTTTGAAATGCCATTTTTGTCAATAACTAAAAGTACAACTAGATAAGTCAAAAGTTCTTTATTTTATCTTCATAAATGTGTAACTTCATGTGAAGGCTGGGAAAAATACCTGTGAAAACTGAAATCTGATGAAAAGGAGATGGAAGCACTGATTGTATGGCTTGCTGATTTTAAAGCTCTTTAATCTTTCTGAAGCACTTTTAATTTCAGAATGTTTAAGTAGCTTTAATTCCTAATATTAAAAAATTAAAATTCTTAATGCCTATTTTTATTAAAAGCCATAAACCCGTGAAGCTTTGCAATTTCCTTTTCTATTTAAGTTAATAAAGTGAGAGAACAAGTGCTTTACCACTGAAGAATTTACGGCGGTCAGGGAAATCCAAGAGATGAGAGCTGACATCAAACTCGAATTGGAAAATATTATTTTCAAAATATCTGTCTGATAAATGATCCATAGGATTTATGTTCTCTTGGCTGGAAATACTAAATTAGAATTTCTAAATATATAATCCCATAATGAAACTGAGAAGAGAGATCAAATTAATAATTGAGATAATAAGTAGACTCAATTTTGATAATTTATTAAAAATATAAAGATTTATCCTTTGAATTCCCTTCTTTTCAATCAAGTAAATTTTAAATTCTAAAATTATGTCACATAAGCCTTCAGGAGTGACTAAATTTATGTTAATAATTTTATTGTCTGTTATAGGTATGTGAGAGAATCCTTGTCCCTACTAAATAACAAAGAGAATAGCTGTTTGTCCCTTGTCTGAATCATCGTTATGCCACACAAAAAGCACATAGACCAATGTGCTACTTTGATATTCTGGAGACTGCTTTTACTTCGTAATTAAGACATGTTGTCAATTTGGTTTCCTAAGAAAGCATCAGATTGTTTTTTATTCTTCAGAGAATCTACTTTTCACTCAACCATTTATATATAATAAATTATAAAATTTTAACACATATTAAATTATATTATAAAATTTTAATACATATTTTAGAATGAGTTTCTTTAATTAATATGTATCCTGAGTTACATTACAATTTCTCATATTACTGAAATTGTAATTAATATAATTCACAACAGTAATTACACAGGAAGAAAACTAATGTGCTTAGAGGAGCTGGGGTTTTTTAAAAGATACACAGGATTCTCATAAGGAAAATTTTGCTTCATCTGTACATTTGCTTTCCTATAGATGCAATAAAGAATTGCCGAAGTGCCTCAATAGCTAAGAGCACAGGTACACAATATACTGCTAAAATAAGATTGTTTTCTCTTTTCCATTGTGCTATATTTATATTGATTAATATAGAAAGCCTGAATGTATTTTATATTGTCTCTAGTTTGTCTCTGCAATATTCTCAATATTTTTGGTTTCTCTTCATGTGTTTTCCAGTCAAGAGAATCCATCCCATTAAATGACCTAAAATCTGAAGTATCACCCCGGATTTCAGCAGAGGACCTGATTGACTTGTGTGAGCTCACAGTGACAGGCCACTTCAAAACACCCACAAAGAAAACAAAGTCCAGTAAGCCAAAGCTCCTGGTGGTTGACATCCGCAATAACGAAGAGTATCCTTTACTTATGCACTTTGGAAGCATGGTCCTACCTTATTCATATTTCTTCCTTTCCATCTAAAGGATATGTGGTAAAACAATGAGCATTTCTAGTATTCCTCTGAGTTCAGATAGCTAAATGACTCTCAAACTAGATGCCAAAATGGTCTTATGTGAGATTATATTTATAAGATAACATATACCAGAGACCTAAAAATATTTTTCAAACAACACCAGAATATTGGGATATTTTCCTGTTTTCTTTTGGTTTGTTTTTCTGAAAGTGTATGTGGTTTTCTGAGGAATGTTGCTATTCTTAAAGGCATTGGATCAGTCATTCTATAGATTGGAATTTTGGCAAAAAAAATGAAGAATATATACCTGGTCTCCTTCAGAATCTAGAGAAAATGTTTGCAAGGATCTTAACACTGAACTTGTATTTAGTATAATTTCCTAAACATTGGCTTACAGAGAACATGTAAACTCACTAAATACAAGTACTTCTTACTAAGATTTTACTATTAAACATGTCATAACTTCCAGTGATTTTTATTTGGCATTGAAGATTTTATTTGACATTGAAGAATAAACACTTATCCTTATGTTTCATCTTTCAGATTCTCATGAAATGTGACTTGATTATTCTCTAAAATCTAGGCAACTGAATCATACTCTTTTAAACACAGCAAATCCTTCTTAAAATAAAAAATTTTCTTAGAAATTTGATATGTGAAATGGAAATAAATTTTATGATTTTTTTCATAAGTTCACATTTATAGCATTTATTAAATATAAATTTACTTTATGTAAATGCTATATATATTAAATATAAATGCTACAAATAAGGGTTAGCAGGTTGATGGGTTTTTTTCTAATTATCTATGGCAATAGAATTATACCTCACACATAAAGTATAATTTCTCATTCTTCTGGTTGTACATAATGTAGAATCCCTCCAGTCATATAGATATATATGTACATAGGGTAATAATGTCTGATTCATTCTACTATTCTTCCCACTCCCATACTCCCTCCTCTTTACTGAATCTAAAGTAACTCTATTCTTCCTTAGCTCCTGCCTCTTGCTGAATTAGCATCTTATATCAGAGGAAATATTCTGCCTTTGGTTTTTTGAGATTGTTTTATTTAACTTAGCATGATTCTCCAGCTTCATCCATTTACCCCCAAATGCCATCATTTCATTCTTTAAGACTGAGTGATATTCCATCGTTTGTGTGTGTGTTGTGTGCGTGTGCGCGCGTGTGTGTTGTGTGTGTGTGTGCGCGCGCGCACGTCACATTTTCTTTATCCATTCATCTGTTGAAGGGCTCCTAGGTTGGTTCCACAGTTTAGTTATTGTGAGTTGAGCTGCTATCAACATTGATGTTGCTGCATCTCTGTAATATGCTGATTTTAAGTCATTTGGTTATAAACTGAGGAGCGGAAGCTAGGTCAAATGGTGGTTCCAATCCAGGTTTTCTGAGGAATCTTCACACTGCTTTCCATAATGGTTGCACAAATTTGCAGTCCCATCAGCAATGTATGAATGTACCTTTTTCCTCACATCCTCACAACATTTATTGTTGTTTGTATTCTTGATAATTGCCATTCTGACTGGAGTGAGATGAAATCTTAGTTTTGATTTGCATTTCTCTAATTGCTGAAGGGGTTGAACATTTTTTCATATATTTGTTTATTATTTCTTCTTCTATGAAGTGTTTGTTTAGTTCTTTAGCCCATTTATTGATTGGTTATTTGGGTTTTTGGTGTTAAGAGTTTTTTTTTAATTCTTTTTTTTTAAATTCTTTATATCCTGGAGATTAATGCTCTATCTGAGATGCATGTGGTAAAGACTCTCCCATTCTATAGGCTCTCTTCACAGTGATTGTTTTCCTTTGCTGACAAGCTTTTTAGTTTGAATCCATCTCATTTATTGATTCTTGATTTTACTTCTTGCACTTTAGAGGTCTTGTTAAGGAAATCAGATCCTAGGCCAACATGGTGAAGATTTGGGCCTACTTTTTCTTCTAGTAGGCACATTTACAGAACTGCTTGAACAATTAATTCTTAAAATGTTAGGAAATGGAGAATACAGTTTGAAAGCCTACAATTTCAAATGATACATCCCAATCTTTTTGTGAAAAGTTGCTACTTTTTATTTTCCCTAAGCTATGAGACCCTTGAGTTTGGAGAGAGTATAGATGTGATGTCCCTGGCTGGTTGCTAGGGCTTTATGTATACTGGAAGTTCCTGGCAGAGAGGGTATGTGTCATACCCCCACAAAAGGCATGAAATTTCAGTTGAATAGTCCTGCTTTAGAAGTTCTTACAATCTGATACTTTAAGGGTTTAATATTTTTTAACTTTTTAGGGTATCTTGTGCTTGAGCCTTTAGTCAAAATCATTCTCTCATGAAACCATCAAAAACATACAGCATATAGTCCTGTATTAATTTTAAAGACTATTACTAGAATAATAAATGAACATCACTCCTCTAATATTTCCCTTCAAATAATTTAGCTATTTTAGATTTAAAAACATACAATATGAAAGTGGCATTCATTCCAATATTTTCCAGCTTCATAATCTTAATTTCTTTTCACTGATACTCTCCTTTATGTTCTTCTAGATGTATACAAACAAAAGAGAAGAAAAGAGAACAGCTGAACCTGAACATTGTTCCTTGATGAATATGGATGAATCTCTAATGTAGAAGTGCCCTTCAATGTCTAAAGTTAGAACTAAGAAAATAATTTACTTGGACATTTAACTGCCTATCTATGATTGTAGGTTAAAGGAAGAGAATCAGTGTTACTCTGTGCCACTTTTGAATGGGGTATGGCTATTCTGAAGAGCCTAACCTATGAAGTTTTTTAAGTCTCCTTTTGTGAAAGCTTCCTTTAAAACTAAAGGGTTTTTTAAAAATAATTTTTATTAGTGTATATTAATCATACAGAATAGTGGATTTCATTATGGCATGTTTATACATGCTTATGACATGGTTTAATCAAAGTCATTTCCCCATTACCTTTCTCTTTTCTCCCTCTGGTCCCTTTCCTCCCTTTTGCATTCATAACATCCTTCATTTTTTTTCCCTTCAGTTTCTGTATATGAGAGAAAACATATAATACTTACCTTTCTTTCTGAGTCTGGCTTATTTTGCTTACCATGATGCTCTCCAGTTCCATCCATTTTCCTGCAAATGTTTTTCTTAATGGCAGAATAAAATTCCATTGCGTATATATACTACATTTTCTTTATTCATCTCTTGATTAACAACAAGGATGATTTCATCCCTTGTTATCGTGAATTTTTTTGTGATAAACAGAAATATGATATCTTTAGTTAAGAATTTAAAACTGAAAATTTATAATTTTAAAGTATGCTGATTTTAAATCTTTGGAGAAATATCAAGGAGTGGTGTATTGCTGGATCATATGGCAGTTCTATTATTAGCTCTTTGAGGAACCTCCATACTGATTTCCATAGTGGCTGGACTATTTTACATTCCTACCTACCAACAATGTGTAAAAGTCCCTTTTTCTCCACATCCTCATTTATTGTTCTGTGTGTTTTTGAAGATTTCCATTCTGATTGGCACAAAATGGAATATCGGGGTAAGTTTGATTTGCATTTCTCTGATGGCTAAAAATTATAATTCATATAATTATTAGTTTTTCATATAATAATTCTCTTTCATGTATTGTTGGTCATCTGAACTTCTTTTGAGAAGTAGATACTTCATTTTCCATTTGTCCACATGAATGGGTTTTTTTAAATTTGATATTGATTTTTTGAGTTCTTAATATATTCTGGATATTAGTTCCTAATTAAGAAAACTTTTCTGACAAAGATTCCTTCCAGTTCTGTAGGCTGTCTCTTCATGTTGTTGTTTTCTTTCCTGCTGTGCAGAGCTTTTTAATTTTATGCCATCCAACTTATTGACTCTTGTTATTATTTCCTGACCAATAGAACTCTTTGTATGTTGATTCATCCTTTGTTTTCTTCTAACAATTGCAAAGTTTCTGATCTTATACCTTTGTCCTTGATCCATTTTCAGCTAACTTTTGTACAAGGTGAGAGATAGGGATCTAGTTTTATTCTTCTACATATATCCAGTTTTCCCAGAACGATTTGTTCAGGAGGTTGTCTTTTCTCCAGCATATATTCTTGATACCTCTGTGAAGAATCAGTTGATTATAAGTATTTGATTTGTCTCTGTCTTCTATTCTACTTCATTGTCTATTTTTATGCCAACCCCATGCTGTTTTTGTTACTGTGGCTCTGTAGTAATTTAAAACTAAGATATTCTTAAAGTTAGACCATTTATCCTCATGACATTTCTAAATTTTTCCTCTACCATATATCTACTACTTTTACACTTCTGAGTTCCAAATATTGCTACCTGTATTTCATAGTGCTTTGAGAGAAGCCAATTTCTAAACTTTTCTCAGAGTCATTGGTTATCATTAAATCTCTATTAATATCATGAAACTGTGAACAATGGAGAGCTATACATCCAACAATACCCTTTGATTGAGTTGTCTAAACTATTTATGACCTTCCAAGGCTGGAAGAAGCATAAGCTTTTTATAAATCTTCTGTGTTCTGTACTGTTTGATTATATTATACTATAATAACATTTCCTTGTAATTATTCATGCTAAATCCTATTTTTAAGGAATTAGAGACAATGGAAAGATATGTGCATAGTAATAAATACATTCATAAATTTAGTGCTTAGAATCAGTGTGATTATTTGATATTTTTAGATATCACCATCATTGACAGCAACTGCTAATATTACTCTCTATAGTGCTATGGATAATTTTTTAAGAAGAAGACATAAAATATAGTTCTTATTTGCCAGGTTGCTTCAGTATGAGGACTGTAAAACACTAAAATGTTTTATGCAAAAAGACAAATGAATAGTAAAGACAATCTGTAATAAGAGCCGAATGAGCAATACAAACAAAGAATACACCAGCAAGGACCTAATATCTGGATAAGAGTAACA